GAGCAGAACACATTAAGAAGCTTCATTAGGCCTCATTTACTGACTGTTAGCATGTGATCTGTGATATTTCTACAGGAATATGTTTTTAGCACATGCCTCAAAGAATTATACTGGGTTATTTTCATTCTCACAAGTTTCACACTGTTTAAAAAGTATATAATCATTGAATGTTAACATTATTTATACAGGTTAATAAGAATCAGCAATACTGTTTCCAGATATATAGAGACGGGTAGATCGACAGATAGATACATTTATTATTATTTATTATATTCTTTATTTGACTTTTTTTATTTTATTTACTTATTGACTTTTTGACTTGATTTCTACTTAATTTATTTATTGACTTTTATGAAATATTTTATTTATTTATACTTATTTACTTGTTGACTTTTTTACTTTCTTACTCATTATATTTTCATGCTTTATTGTTAAATTATTTATTTTTTAAATCGCATCAGTAATGCATGTTCCATTTATTGATTTATTTATTATTTTTACTTATTTGACTTGTTTATTTTGACATTTATTATTTATTTATATTCACTTTTTGACTAATTTATTTATTTGACTTGCTTGTTTTAACTTATTTATTTACTTATTGACGAATTTATTTAATTGACTTATTTGTTTTGACTCTTTATTTATAAATCTCATCAGTAGTGCGTAACCTGAGTCTTCTCCTCTAGAAAAACAGAAGTCGTCGTACAGGCCATTTGGACAGCTGTACAGCTCTGTTTAGAGGTATTTTTGAAGATTTCTTGTAAGTGCGTAAACAAAAACACAAGCTTGGCATTTCTTCCTGGGAAGCCTGCGGTGAGTTTGTGCTGTGGTCTGTTCCTCTGATGTCTTCTGACCTCACTGACACCTGTGCAGAGTCTCAGAGCTGAAGGGAGTTTGACCTCTGACCTCTGTGTGTGACAGCAGACGCTCGGCCTTCAGGAGCTTTAATGACCGACCGCTGGAGACGAGTCCAGAGTCAGAAAAATCAACATTCATACAGTACTGTTCAAAAGTTTGGGGACAGTAAGAAGAAATTCATACTTTTATTCAGCAAGGATGTATTAAAAGCATCAAAAGTGACCATAAGGACATTTATAATGTTAGAAATGATTTCTGTTTCAAATAAATGCAGTTTTTTTTTCATCTGTTCATCAAAGAATTCTGAAAAAATTCAATGTATCGCAGTTTCCACAAAAATATTGTGCAGCACAACTGTTTTCAGCATTGATAATAATCAGAAATGTTTCTTGAGCAGCAAAGCAGCATATTAGAATGATTTCTGAAGATCATGTGACACTGAAGACTGGAGTAATGATGCTGAAAATACAGCTGCGCATCACAGGAATAAATTACATTTTAACAGATATTAAAATAGAAAACAGTTACTTGAAATTGTAATAATATATCATGTTATTACTGTTTTTACTATATTTTTGATTAAATAAATGCAGCCTTGGTGATTATAAAAGACATCTTAAAAAAAAAAAAAACATTAAAAGAAAATCTTACAGACCCCAAACTTTGAATGCTAGCATAAATCAAGTGTATTTATTTATTTGTTTGTTTGTTAGTTTGTTTATTTATTTAAATGACAGATAGATATGACTATTTATTTGAATTTTCAATTCAGTTTACATGTATTTTGAAAGCATTTTTACAACACATTTTAAAGCAGCTTCTTAGAAATTAATTCTAAATCATTAATTAAAAGGTCAAATAATTATAATTACTCACTTATTGACTTTTTGCTTTATTTTTTTTTATTTTGACTTATTTACTTTCTGACTCTTTTTTTATATTTTTATTATCATTTTTTTTACATTTAAATTGCATCAGTAATGTAGCTATACAGCTTTTGTAAACAAAAAATGCAAGCTATATATTTTTTTCTTTTAAGATAAATAAATCTTACCAACCCCAAACTTTTGAACAGTACGTATTTATAGAATATATGACCATGGTACATGTCTAGAATGATACAGGGCTTATATGTATGCTATAAGCACTATACTATTTTAAATGAAATATTATATGTGTGCTTGTGTACTTGTTTCAGAAATGTGGTCCTCACAAATATAGTAGAACCTGGGGTTGTGCTACACCAGCAAACTGGCCCACAACTTTTTTTAATTTTAAATGTAAAAATGAAAATCTCTGTTAGTAGTGGTAGTTTAAGATTATGGTGTAATTGAGTTTATCTTCATTCAACATCAATAGAAATGCATTCACAAGCAGACACTGCACACCAGAGCAGCCGATCCTCAGAAGCTCAGCTGTGTTTGTGGTTCATCTGAGCTTTATAAACATTATGATCAAATTTATGAACCTGTGCAGCTTTTATCTCCAGCTTTATGACTGTAATAAACTGATTTATGGGAGATAAACTCGTGCTGAAGGTGTGATGTTCTGTAAATGCGCACACACACACACACACACACACAGAGCGGTCAGGATCATGTATTATTAATCAGAGAAAGCAGCTCGAGTGTTCGGTCTGAGCTCCTGAGGGTTTGTCCATGTTGTGCAGAAACACACGTCCATCTGATAGGCTTTATTTAACAGTTAGCATGATTAATGTAGATGAATATTCTCCAGAGAACCAGAAGAAAAAAAAGCTTTGTCAATTTAGTATTTTTTCATATCGTTACATTGTTTAGAGCGTAAGAAAAAAAGGAAAAATAACATTTTTGAAAAATGATATGTTATTCATGTTATGCTATGTCCTCTGTAGAGGACACCAGGGCTCAGTTTTTCTAAAAAAAAAATAAAATGAATAGACATGAAAAGGCAAACTTAAAGGCAAACCAAACTTTAAGGATGATTCTCAACCATGTTATAAAATATATAACAAAATGATTTGATATAACATTTTGATTTATGCAATATGTGTGTAAAATTTCCATTAACTGGGTTTCCCATTAAACACAATGCATCTATACACTGTATCTTATTTGCATGTTAATATGCTGTTGGGACAGCATGTTGAAAAAGAAGTGTAATAATGGGAGTAATAATTTGCCAGATTTTCATAATAATATCTGTACTTAATGTGTGTGTTTATATATACATAATAAATATACACAGAACACACACACATATATTATGTAAACAAAAACTTTAATTCTGGATGCGATTAATCGCGATTAATCGTTATATATTTATATTTATTTATTTTCCTATTCAATTGTTTTGTCTCCCAAAATGTGTAATAAACATGCTTTTAGTCCCGGTGTCCTCCACAGTGGACATGCATGAAATGATTTCCTGAGATTCTGCTTTATGACAAACAATTTGAAAATTAATCTGATTTAAATAAGAAAATATTATCATATTTCCATAAGGATGTACAATTTGACCACTAAATGAATGTCAGCCATCTTTAAAGACCAAGCAGAAGAGGGAGTGGTCACGGTGAAACCTCCAATCATTCGCTCGTTACAGGACATCCAGACTTAAAACTGTGGCTGTGGCGGTCTCTGTCCACTGGGTCTGGGTCTCAGGAGGATCAGGAAGTAATTGGTCTTGAGGGAAACGCTCGTGTCTGATGTCGCTGGTTTTGCTTTTGTTGCAGTGTGCTGTGAAGCACTAAAGTCAGAGTATTTGACGAGCGAGTGACCGCGGCGGCTGCTGTGTGTTTTGTGCTGTCTGTGGTCAGTGTTGTGCAGCGAATCACTGAAAGCAGCAAGCTAGCTGTTTGAAAGCAGCGTGGCGTGACCTCTGACCTCTGACCTGATGCTGTGGGTTTGATTCTTTGTTGGTTTGTTGTGTTGCAAACGCAGCTTTACAGTCGAGTGAACTGAAGCGATAATCACACACACTGACCTACATATATTTGTCCAGACAGTTCATTGCAATTAAACAGTTCAAATAAAGGTGCACTGATTGTCGTTTTATGTCTACCGTTTATTAATAAAATATGTAGTTAAAACACTGCTGTTTAGAATTAGTTTTTACAACTTTTACTGACCGTTTAATTTATATTTTATATATATAAAACATTTGTGTCTCTATTTGATTAAATCATTTAAATAAATACATATACTGTTGCCATTGTTAATTATTATTATAATTATAATTATTATTTAAATATTATAGTTAAAATTTAAAATTTTAATATTAAATATAGTATTTAAATAATAATAATAATAATAATAAATATACTTAATAATACAAAAAAATTATTTTAAATGTTATTTGTTGTTAAATGTATATTTATTATTATTATTATTGTGTTTAAATAGAAACACCTTGATATTTGTGTATTTACATGTTCATATTTATGTAATAACATTTATATCTCATTAAATATTGTATATATTATATGATTAAATTATTTAAATACAATAACAATTTACAGTGTGAGAGAGATATTAAAAAACAACAAGTGCAGAAAGAAAAATAAATGAAACAGCATCCTCAGAGAATCACACAAGAAAGACAATATCAGCAGTGAAAATTATTTTTAAAAATATGAACTGAGGTGTTTTATTCATATATAAGCATTCCCTGAGGATGCTGTTTCATCTTTTGCATTTCTATTTCATTCTGCACTTGTTTTTTTTTTTGAATCTCTTCTCTATATAAATATTGTGAATTGTTTTAAAATAGCTGAGAGATGCAGGATATGTTTATGAAGATTTAATGTTTAAACATGTTTTTAATTTACACAATCCCACGACTGATATTCAAATAAGTTACACTGAATGCTGACATGTAAAACTGCACATCACCCGACTGAGGTGACACACACAGGTGTGTGTGTGTGTGTGTGTGTGTGTGTGTGTGTGTGTGTGTGTGTGTGTGTGT